TTCAGATTTCCATTTGTTATGGCATACTTTTTTTGCAAGCTGAAAAAGGGTATACCAAATGTCTTGCTCTTTATAAGCATTTTATTGTTGTGGTGCTATTATTTCTATAATGTTGCTTTTTTTCAATTACCACTTACGCTACAACTTGGGCTTAGCTAAGATAAACCTCAGATTCCTCCCTTAGACTCCTGAGCTTGTCTAATGGTCTTTGCTGGTCTGAGCTAGGCAGAACAAGAGCAGTAAGTGTACTTAATCTCCCTTGGCACAGGTTTGGGTCTGAACTATGTGACTAAGTGAACATGAAAGGTTGTCTCAAATGTTACAAATTATGTTTTTGATTTTTAGTTTGAATCAAAAGCCAAATAAGAGGGCTACCCTGGTGGCACAGTGGTTAAGAATCCAGCTGCCAATGTAGGGGACACAGGTTCAAGCCCTGGTCCGGGAAGATCTCACATGCCACAGAGCAGCTAAGCCCGTGTGCCACAACTGCTGAGCCTGTGCTCTAGAGCCCATGACCCACAACTACTGAGCCCACGTACCACAACTACTGAAGCCCGCGTGCCTAGAGCCTGTGCTCTGCAACAAGAGAAGCCACCGCAATGAGAAGCCCGTGCACCACAACAAAGAGTAGCCCCCGCTCACCGCAACTAGAGAAAGCTCGCATGCAGCAACAAAGACCCAATGCAGCCAAAAATAAATAAATATATATATTTTTTTAAAAAGCCAAATAAGAGGCACATGTTACAACTGGTTGCTGTATCTCTCAATTAAGTCTACTGCTTTCTCTTTTTCTTTGCAATTTATTTGTTGAAGAACCTATGTCATGTGTTCAGTAAAGTTTCTGATGGTCTCCATTTTAATGAGCATCCATGTGATGTTGTTTAACATGTTGCTCTGTTTTCTTCTATTTCCTATAAATTGGTAATTGCGTCTAGAGGCTTACCACATTCAGTATTTTTATGGGGGAGGGAGGAAAACACCTTCAAAGTGGTATTTTGATCTTCCATCAGGAGGTACATGTCATCAGGTTGTCTTTCTTTTTGAGATACTAGCAACTGTTGATGATTAACGCCTAGATTCATTAATTTATGAGGGGTTACAAAATGGTGATATTCTGGTATTCTTCCTTAATTTATTAGCTGAAATATTTTTATAAAGAGACATTCCCTCTAATTTACTATTTGGTTACCCACTGGTATAGTTAAAAACAAGATAAACACTTCATTCTTTCCTTTTAGACCAATTCTCAGAATAATAAATTGGTTTACTAGAATACTCCAATGGTGACCAGTTTTTTATGAACTCATGAATTTAAATACTGGGTATGTTTCAAATCAAATCCTTTTTCTGCATCTATTAAGATAATTATATGATGTTTTCCTTCAATATGTTAATATACTAAATTATATAAATTGATTTTTAATAATAAACCAACCATGTATTTTTAGCAGAAACCCAACTGTTCACAGAAGTAATTTTTAAAAATACAGTGGACCCCTGAATAATGCTGGGGGTTAATCGAAGTATAACTTATAGTTGACCCTCCATATCTGAGGTTCCTCCTCTACATCTGCAGGTTCAACCAACCAGGGACTGTGTAGTACTGTAGGATTTACTATTGAAAAAAATACAAGTATGGGCTTCCCTGGTGGTGCAGTGGTTGAGAGTCCACCTGCCGATGCAGGGGACACGGGTTCGTGCCCCGGTCCGGGAAGATCCCACATGCCGTGGAGCGGCTGAGCCCGTGAGCCATGGCCGCTGAGCCTGCACGCACGTCCGGAGCCTGTGCTCCGCAACGGGAGAGGCCGCAACAGTGAGAGGCCCGCGTACCACAAAAACAAAAAAAACAAGTATAAGAGGACCAGTGAAGTTCAAACCCACATCGTAAGGGTCAACTGTATATTGCTTGATTCAAATTGCAAATATTTCATTTAGGATATTTGTATCTGTGTTCATAAGTAAAATTTGCCTATACTGTTCTCATACTGTCATTGTTAAGTTTTGGTATCAAGGTTATGCAAGTCTCAAACTGAGTTGGGGAGTGTTTACTTGTTTTTCTCTTCCTTGAGAGAAGCTGTAGAAGAGTGAAATGATTTTTCCTTGAATGTTTGGTAAAAACTGTAAAAATGCCAGGGCCCACTGTTCATTTGCTTGCTTGCTCTCTAAAATGTTTTAAATTGAAAATTATACACACATACACACATAAAAGTTCATAAATCATAAGCCTACAGCTTAATTCTTTATCATGATTGAGTTTCACCCTTCTATACATCTCCTCAGCCTGACCCTGAGTTTTGCAAGAGATCTGATGAGTCAGTGGGAACAGTAGATACATTAAAATAACTTCACTCTGCTGACAGGAAAAGAAAAGCATTTAGAAGGTTTAAAACTTCTAAACTCCCTTCAGCAGGCAAGGCAACTGAAGCAGTTTTTCAACTACTGGGCCAAATTATCCTAAATGAGGTTTTTACAGAATCTGGCAAGATTTTAATTCAAGTTACCAAAGCTTTTTCTGAGGAACTATAAGATGATTAGAAAATATAATAAAAGTTATCTTTCACTCTTTTGAAAACTCCATATTTTAAAAAATAAACCAGTAAGGGGAATTCCCTGGAGGTCCAATGGTTAGGACTCCTCACGTTCATTGCCGAGGGCACAGGTTCAACCCCTGGTGGGGGAACTAAGATCCCGCAAGCAGTGTGGTGTGGCCAAAAATAAATTAATTAACTAAAATAAAAATAAACCAGTAAGGATTTTGAGGCTGTAGTTAAATGTACTTAGGATGGGAGACAGAGGATGACAGTTATTAACAGCATGAGAAAAAAGAAGAATATAATTTGACTTAATGAACCTAGGAGACAGACAGGGTAGCAGGATGAACTTACCTAAACTGGGTAAATCCCCAGGTTTATTTAAAATTGAACGCAATTGTAGGTTGCCAAATGAGATTAATGTCTGGAGTGGTCTCTTTGTAAATACTAGGGTTTTTAGCTAATACTGACTGAGAGAATTCTTCACGATCACATACTATTTCTTTTTGCCTACAATTAGTTAATCTACTATCTTTTACTACAAGTGCTTAATTGGAAACAAAACCCAGCTTAGTAACACTGGAACAGTACCAACTCCCCTGACTGCCCATTTCATTAACTAAGTCCTTCCCTCCCTCCATTACACATGTGTTCCTGCTCAGACGATGAATCACTCTCCAAACATCTCTACCTATCAGGCATGTATCAGAGACAGAAGCACTTTAACAGTTTCGGGGGAAATCTACCAAAATCTTTCGATGAAGTCTTAACCATTCCTGGTGCAAATATGAAATTTTTATACAGAGAAGACGAATTTTGAACAGTTTAAATAAACTATCCAATATAAAAATATAAAAAAGAGAATAGTGACAGCCTCAATACCACAAAGCTAAGACCCTGGTGATCACAATTCTTGCTACATGTTCATGTCAAACCATTTACTTAACAAATATTTATTGAGTGCCTAAGGTGTCAGTGTTCCAGCACATAAACTCACTCAAAGGAATGAGAATTAAGACCAGAAACTTAAGTCCTTAACATAGAAAGAGCAAAAAAGGAGTATCCCAATTTCTTCACCTAATACTCTGAACCTATAATAAGCAAACAAGTCAAGTACTTTCTCTATTTTGGACTTTTTGATACCTTATATTTCCCACAGCTGCTTTGCATATATTCTAACCGTCAAAAGTTCAACAATGCATAAATCAAAATAAACTTCAAACCAAAAGACAGACACATAAAATAGCTGTTAATATATTTAAAAGTACTTAATTCACTCATAATTAAAGAGGTACAAATAAGAACTAGAGATGCCATTTTCACCTACTAGTTAAAGAAAAAATTTTAAGATTGATAATATCTACTTTTGATGATAGGGAGCTGCATATGCTTCCACATTCTTCATTGGTGGATATAAGTTGATATATCTTCTTGAAAATATATATAACTTTTGACCAGGGAATCCCACTGTTAGGAATTTATCCTAAAAATATACTGGCAATGAGAATGCAAGGATAGATGCACAAGATGTTCATTGCAACATAATTTGTAACAGTAAAACACCTTGAAATAACTTAAATGCTCATGAATAACAGTGTAGGAATAAATGAAATTCTATTCTACTACAAAGACATGAGGCAAATCTTTAGGTACTGATATGGGATGTCCAAGATAAAATATTAAGTGAAAAAAAGGAAATCACAGAACAGTCTGTATAGTATAACTCCACTGTTAGAAAAAGGAATAAAGATAGTCATAGTATGTAATATAAAAATGTGTAATAAAAAATTTCTGTAAGAATTCACAAGAAAGTATCAATAGCAAGTACCTTGGGGGAGTAGAAGTGAGGTCGCAGGGAGAAGACATACTTTAGAAGACCTTTCCTTTTTTTTTTATATGTACTTTTTGTATTGTCTGAATTCCTCACCAGAGTATGTTTTATTTTTATATTTAGAAAACGCATCAGTTCTGAGATGTGGAATTCTTGTCAAATTACAAGCTTAGTACAATTTAAATAAATGATACCTAGAAGAAATCAATTCATTTCCATAATTTATTTCACAGATAAGGACTGGAACATCAATTTCTTTGGCTCGCTGAATGTTATGCTATTTATGAAGTACTTTCAGGAATGAAAATGAAGGTGATCACAAGATATTATAGAATATTATATCTTCTTTTCAAAATTATGTGGAAAAAAGAAGCTCTAACTCTTACAGACCTTTTTTTAAACCACAGACCATGTAAAATTACTTTTTAATGTAACTAAATTGAGTCTTCACAATCAACTGCAGAAGTAGATTCCTAAAACTTACCAAGTTGGGAATAGAAACATCAAGAAAAAAAGCTGAGGAGTGAAAAGTAGAAAATGTGTACAGAAAATAGAATTAGAGAAGCGAGTAATGTCTCTTAGTATAAGCAGGAAAAGGGTGACTTTAGAGAGAGTCAGTTCCCACAGGAATACTATACCTAACAGCTGGCTGTGTTCCCCTGTGATGGAGTTCTGACTCGGGTCTGAAAAACAAACAATTGAAAAGAAAAAAAAATTGAATGACCAAAACAAATAATTTCTTAAAAATCAGCAACAAAAGTCAACCAAGGAAATAAGAAAAAAAAAATTATGATGTTCAAGAAACATTAATATAAGGATATTAAAAATAGAACTATTATAAAAAAATAATTCCACAGCTTCCTCAAAAAATTAAACAGAATTACCATGTGACCCATGGTATACACCCAAAAGAATTGCTAACAGGGACTCAGATACTTGTACAACAATGTTTACAGCAGCATTATTCACAATAGTTAAAAGGTGGAAATAATCCAAGTGTCCTCCAAAGATGAATAGATAAACAAAATGTGGTACAGATGGTCTTTGACTTATGATGGTTTGACTTAAGATTTTTCGGTTTTATGATGGTGCAAAAGCAATATGCATTCAGTTGAAACCATACTTTGGATTGTGAATATATATACACACATATATATGTGTGTATATATATATATACACATATATATGTATACATATATACATATACACATATGTATACACATATATACTTTTTTTTTTTGGGTGCGCCACACAGCATGCAGTATCTCATTTCTCCAACCAGGGATCGAACCCTTGCACCCTGCAGTGGAAGTGCAGTCTTAATCACTGGACTGCCAGGGAAGTAAGTCCCTGGATTTTGAATTTTGATCTTTTCCTAGGTTAGTGATTTGCAGTACAGTACTCTCTTGTGATGCTGGGGAGCACAGCGCAGCGCAGTGAGCTGCAGCTCCCAGTTAGCCACGCAATCAGGAGGATAAACAACCATTACAACCGTTCTGTACCCATATAACCATTCTGTTCTCTACTTTCAGTATTCAATAAGTTACGTGAGATATTCAACACTTTGTTATAAAATAGTCTTTGTGTTAGATGATTTTGCCCAACAGTAGGCTAATATAAGTGTTCTGAGCATGTTTAAGGTAGGCTAGACTAAGCTATGATGTTCAGTAGGTTACGTATAGTAAATGCACTTCGACTTAATATTTTCAATTTAGGAAGGGTTTATCAGGACGTAACCCTACTGTAAGTCGAAGAAGATCTATATATACATACAATGGGATATTATTCAGCCATAAAAAGGAATCAAGTTCGGATACATGCTACAACATGCATAAACCTTGAAAATATCACACTACGGGAAATAAGCCAGAAGCAGAACAAATACTGTATGATTCCATTTATATGAAATATCTAGAAAAGACAAATCGGCAAACTTGTAGAGACAGAAAGTAGGTTAGAGGTTACCAGGGGCTGGGGAGTGTGGAGGGGGAATGGGAAGTGGGATCTTATTGCTTAATAAGTTGTAAAAAAATTTCTAAAATAGAACTGGAGGATATAAAATGGCAAGTCTCATCCATGTGCCCTCAGGAAGACAAAATTGAACTAAGAGGCTGATTTCCCATAAATGCCTGATTTATAGAAACGAAATTTTCTCAGATGATGGGGGGTTGATCAGAGGTTGCCTCCTATCAAACTTGGTAAGTTTTGCCAGAAGCATGAACAAGAGATGGCCCAGGTTGGGTTAGTCTCACAAAGTGGGCTGAAATGAGCTTTGTTTGTGTGACTAGACTGATTCTGTCTGCTCAGGAAGTTTTCAAGGCTGGTCTCTGTTTGTTTTTGATTTTAACTGACTCAAACTGAACTCTCCCCTCTTTACATTCCCTGCCCATAAATACAACCTACCCCAAACTTTCACTGGACTCACCTGTAGCTTGCTACAGTATGCTTGTCCCAAATTTCAATTCCTCTGCTATTCCTGAATAAATTCATCTTTTCCAGCTTGCCTCAGTTTACCTCTTTATTTAGGTCAACAGAGAACAGTTTCTGTTTGGGGTGATGAGAAATTTTGGAAATAGTGGTAATGGTTGTACAACATTGTGAATATAATTACTGTCACTGAATTGTGCACTAAAAAGTGGTTAAAATGGCTAATTTTGTGTTATATATATTTTATTACAATAAAAAGTTAAACAAGTAATCACATAAATTTGGCCAAGCAATATTAGTTCCATAAAGTAGATGAATGATTCAGGGCCTATGACATGAATTACATTTTGTTTTTAATGACAAAGGAAAATGTGGCCAGAGCAGTTGCAAGTCAAGACATAAGTAAAGCACTCATTACTACTAGCAGATATGTTCTGATTTGACTTTAAGATAAAATGACTAAACTGGCTTTTATAAATATCTCTTTCTTCAGTAATCTATAATAAAATTAGTGACAATAAACCAAGTTCCTAATCCAAGAGATACTGACAGTCGCCATTTAACAACCAATCACTTGCTTATTTTAAAGGCTTGGAAAGCATTAAGGGCTAAATAAGGAAAAGACTCTGAGCTGCACTTTCCTCAAAGAGTAAATCTTGGTCTTCCCTGGTGGCGCAGTGGTTAAGAATCTGCCTGCCAATGCAGGGGACACGGTTCAAGCCCTGGTCTGGGAAGATCCCACATGCCACGGAGCAGCTAAGTCCGTGCGCCACAAGTACTTAGCCTGTGTTCTAGAGCCTGTGAACCACAACTACTGAGCCCATGTGCCACAACTACTGAAACCCGCACGCCTAAAGCCCGTGCTCCTCAACAAGAGGAACCACCGTAATGAGAAGCCCACGCACTGTGACGAAGAGTAGCCCCCACTCGCCGCAACTAGAGAAAGCCCAGGTGCAGCAACAAAGACCCAACGCAGCCAAAAATAAAGGAATAAATAAATAAATTTTTTTTTAAAGAGTAGATCTCTTGAGATAGTGAGGATTACATCTGGGTTCCTTGAATGCATTTAAGGAATAAAAATTTTAGACTGGGTGTCTATGAACAATGGAAAAAAAAATTACATCCTCATTTTCACTAACCTCTAATTGAAGTTTAGTATTTTCTCCAAATACGATGTAGGCAACAAATTACATAAAAGTACCAGTGATTTTGTCAACAACAAATATCTGATATTTTCTATCACATTATAGTTGTTGCATATATCTCATAATATCTTTTAGGTTCCATACTACTTTGAAATTATGGTAGTTATTAGAGGGGCTGCTAGCTTTAAGCAGGCTTAAACACTGCCAAAGAGGTCCAAAATATAAAAAAGATTAAAAATTACTATTTGAGGGCTTCCCTGGTAGCGCAGTGGTTGAGAGTCCGCCTGCCGATGCAGGGGACACGGGTTCGTGCCCCCCGTGGTGTTTCTAAATATAAAATATATAATTATATATAATTAAATCTAACACTTTGAGTATCCCAGACAGAAAGAACCAATCAGAATACTAAACAAATTCTGATTTCTGATGTATATAGTCTATATTATAGTGGAAGAAATAAGGTAAAAACCTGATTCCTACAACTAAAGTTTTAAATGCTATGTGAGCATTTAATGATATATTTTTAGAAGATTTTCTTCATCTTAATTTTGTTTTAAAAAAGAGAAATTCCAAATTTTTAAAAGTTTTTTTTTTTTTTTTTTTTGCGGTACGCGGGCCTCTCACTGCTGCGGCCCCTCCCATTGCGGAGCACAGGCTCTGGACGCACAGGCTCAGCGGCCATGGCTCATGGGCCCAGCCGACCGCCGCATGGGGGATCTCCGCAAGACCAGGGCATGAACCCGTGTCCCCTGCATCGGCAGGCGGACTCTCAACCACTGCGCCACCAGGGAAGCCCTTAGAAGATATTTTTGCCAACATACTAGGAAAGTGAATTCCCAGTTTTTAATTTAAACTAGTTTTATTTCCTATCTAAATAAAGAATATAGGTTGTTCTTGTACATAAGACAAAAGTAGGACTAACAGTTCTATAGCATGTTAATGTATTAGATCGCTCTCTCTCTCTCTCTCTCTCTCTCTCTCCCTGCCCCCTCATGTAGGGGGAAAATTGGGCCCTATCATTAGAGAGAAACAGGTACATAATAACATGAAAGGAAGAGTACAGAAAGAATCATACAATTTCAGAACCAGAAGAAACTTGGTCATCATCTAGATCTACTCTAGTGATTCCAAAGGCAAAGTTGCAGAAGAGTTATCAGCATCATCTATTCTCCCTAAAACTATACCCTTCTCAAGACTCTGATTCCCAGATACTGTCACTAATGGGAATGCCTTTATCTCTGAGGTGTGCTTTCAGAACAAAGTTGAGAACCTTGGATTTTAACATCTAAAGTTGAGAAGAATGCTTGGGTTAATGAGTGACCAAAGACATATCACACTACTGACAAAAGAGAAAGGTTGGAGATAGGGTCTTCATGTTTGAGAACCTATGTTAGTGTTTCTCAATACTCTGTAATTCTAATTTTTCTTGCTCTAAAATAAAGTACAATAGCCTAAAAAAAGTTATCTGGAATTGCCAGGGAATGTATCTATGAAAAAAAATAGAAAAACATCTCAGATAACTCAGACAGAATAGGTATGATTTTAGAGGGGGGTATATAAATGACTATTTTTCTTAAAAAGAATTACCATCTTCTGTTTTTCTTTCTTTTAATAACTTTTTCAGGGCTACTGTTTTTTAAAATTTTTGTTTATTTATTTTTGGCTGCATTGGGTCTTCATCACTGCGTGAGGGCTTTTCTCTAGTTGCAGCACGCGGGCTTCTCATTGCAGTGGCTTCTCTTGTTGCAGAGCACAGGCTCTAGGAGCATGGGCTTCAGTAGTTGTGGCATGCGGGCTCAGTAGTTGTGGCTCATGGGCTCTAGAGTGCAGGCTCAGTAGTTGTGGCACATGAGCTTAGTTACTCTGTGGCACGTGGGATCTTCCCGGACCAGGGCTCAACCCGTGTTCCCTGCATTGGCAGGCAGATTCTTAACCACTGCGCCACCACGGAAGCCCAGAATTACCACCTTCTTTACTGTATATTTCCTTGCCTTCTGAGCTGTGCATACATGATGTATGTGCATTTCCTAGTCAAGCCAGGACTCTTCCTTGAACACCCTCCTATACAGTCAGTCCTCTGTTTCCGGGGAAGCGGAATCCATGGATTTGGA